TACAACTTAAAAGTTGTAAATTGATGTCATGGGGTAGGACTAGATAAGTCTAACTTCTTCCTACTCCGTTCAAGCATGTACTAGGTACAAGTAAATTGATATTGGATTATTATTGTTGGATATGTGTGAAATTACATGTGTTGGCATATCAACTGTTTTACATGCTTGAATGAATAAATCAAATCAAATGGTTTTACAGCAGAACTTGACACCACAAATACCTTTCTTCCCAGCTTTGGGAGCGGTGCATCTCCCTCCCTCCACGGCCAAAAACTTCCACATCATCAAAACTTCTTTGGTAAAACCCTCCATCTCCTCTTCCCCGGCCTGAAAACAATCATAGATTAACACGACCTAATAAAACCTAATGAGACCAAATGCTAATCACTGAGTGCAATTGTAGGCTACAGCAACTGAGCCAGCATCATACACTGCACACATTTGCTAAATCATGATGCTTTACTCTCCCGTTCTATCTATAAGATGTAGAACAAAACAGCCCTTGTGGTTTTTAATTCATCTGCCCTCCTTTTCTCTACAATTCAATGAAAACATCCTCTGACAGTAACAATGCAGTTTGGCTGCAGTAAACTGCTGTTTCTTTATAATCACTTCGGGTCAGCTGGTAAACAACAATAGTGTGTCCATTTTAATGTTTGTACTAAACTTGGTCAGGCTTTTGTACCGGCCCCAAGCCCGGATAAATAGAGTTGCATCAGGAAGGGCATCCGGCGTAAAAACTTGCCAAAACTTACCATGCAAATTGTCAGTGTGGAAACAGATGATTCGCTGTGGTGACCCCTAACGGGAACAGCCAAACGTGGAGCAAACAAACAAAATTTTTCATTAAGGGGCAAAAAGTCATAAGCTCAGTATAATGGTAGATTGGTAAAGGTATGGCCAATGACTTTCCAAGATCATGGTCCAACTCTTAAGAGTTAATCAGAAACTTACAACCTGCAGTTTTAGTAATTTTTGTTTAAACTATTTGAGTGTCTTTTTACCAGTTACCTAAAAAGAACTGCAACTGTGGTTCAAGTCTGGTTTTGTGTGATTTAAGTGTGACTTACAGGTGGTAAGGGTGCCTGAAAAGTCTGACTAGACTCTGCAGTGACAAACAGGAAAGATGCTGTTCTAAGGAAAAAGAGGTTTATTTCTCCTCTGAGGCAGTAAACACAACATATGGACCCAAACATTTGGGGCTAACTATCAGTAACCAAACTACTCTAGAAAGCATGTATTCTACCACTGACAAAAACATAAATACAATATTTTTGAACTGAATTGAGGATTTATATGGGTTGGCGTCACATTTCAAACAAGGTTTTCAATGCTTAATGCACAAGAACTATGAGATAAGCAGCTAGGGTTAATAAGGTATGCTGAGTAAGCACAACACCTACTGCACCCCTTGTCTCAGCCTGTGGACAGACTGGTGGGATTCTTCAAAGCCATCTTAAACTATCTGCAGTTGTGGTTCTGAAACTGCATGGAAAAAGTATCTAAATAGCTACAAAAAAGGCTAGTTTGAAAAGTGAAATCCACAACATTGCTTTCTACAGCTTCACACCCTGAAATAAGAATAGAAACATGACACATTCATGGAAGGTGATAGTTCAGTTCTTACCTCTACCCCTTGAGGTACTCCGGCCTCTTGCTGTCCCTGCTATTGCACTGCCTCCTCGCCTAAGTACAGCTGCACTGTTTACAGACATGGAAAAATTTCTCTGCAAATACAAACAAGGGGGAGAGGAACAAGTGGAATGAACAGCCAGCACTCTCAGCACCTGCTCTGTATTTGGTTGCCAAGAAGTAATGTATATTTCAAGATAAGACGGTAAGAAGCCAACTGGCCTGAGGCCAATATGAAATTCATTTTGGTCTGGTTCATAAGTAAGAAAATGTTTCTGATCCTACCATTCCACAGCAAAATAATTATCTGACATTAGGACAAGTTCTCCTACCTGTTCCTCCTCGGTAAAAGACACAAGTGCCAGAGGCGGCAAAGGCTCCTCTTGCAATATGGGCAGAAACTCCTTATCATGTAGGTCTATAGGGATCTAGAAGAGGGAAAAACCAATCACCGACTTCACTGATAAGATACACAAGGCTTTAGGAAATGTACTATGGCACTGCAAATAAGGAAGCTGTAAATATATTCTTGGCAGTAACAAAAATTTTATGTAAAAAAATCACATTGACTACAGGCCTTTATCAACAGCTAAGATACATATATTATACCCACCTTGTTATCCTTTATGTAAAGTGCTAACATTTCTTCTCTCCCATAGCGATAGTCTGCAAGTTTATACTTTGGCAAAGCAGGTGAGAGGGGTGGAGAGGCAACAGAGCTGCTGCTTCCACCACCACTGCTGCTACCACCTCCAGAGAGGGCACGGAGCCTGCGCAAGAGTAGTACAAGGGCAGTACAAGAGAGGGGACAGAGGGAGGAAAGAGAACACTGAAGATGAGGTGGCATTTGGCTTGTCTAAACATGTATGGAAAAGCTGCACAGAGCTCCAGCAGAAAACCAGTTTCACCACCTACAAATCACTTCCGTCATACTAATCATGAATTTGTGCCAGCTCAATTACCATTCTGGTCCAAAGTTAAGTGTTTGGGTTTCGGCCATTCTTCCTTGAAGTTCTACAAATGTGAAAAGGGAAGAAAACGGTTTAGTACCACTCAATATATATCATCAATGGCATAGAAGTTCTTCCACTGAAAAACAAATTAAATACAAGACACAGAAATACAATAAATGAAAACTATTTGGCTGATAATGAAATATGACACAGGAAAGAAGCAAATGCTCTCATTTGAGAAACTGCAATAAAAATTGCATTTTTTCACTAGTTTTTTAATGACTCATAATTAATTTTGCTTGTCAACTGACTAATTGATTAATCAACCCATTACACAAATGTTATCTAACATGTCATAAACATGAGCATAAACTTTATTGTCAAGTATTATCAAAAAATACAAGGAATTTGACTCCAGTCCAATGGTCCTCAGTGTGCACAATATAAGAACAGAATAAAACCAAAATCACAAGTTAAAAGCAAAGACAAAAATGAAAAAAGTACACACAATACATATATACAAGTTAAAAGGGCTACTGTTTTTCACTGAGGCGCTTCCTCTATCATTGTGTAGTTTTGATGGACAGAATTTGGAAAAAATACTTCTAGGTTTTGTCTCTAGCATTAATGCATTACCACTGCTCAGGATAGTGCCTATATAGCCCATCCCACCAGCACACAGCCAGTGTACTATTTCAATCTGCTAAAGCTATTTTAGGAAGTCTCCCAGCCTGCAAGGAGGGTATATCAGACACCTGTAAAATTGACAGTGGAGATGGCCTTTACTTAAGCTGATGAACTACAAAAAATAATCATGTTATGGTAACAAGATCAGCTGTCTGCTTACATGAGTGTCTCCACTGCCAACGCTTCATCTTACACTTGGGCTTAAAAGTGGGGATTTATAACATAGCGAGGATTTTTCCAATATTAAGCATAAAAGGCGACAATAGATACAAATTACTACTGGCCATATGGTAGCCAGGATAAGCCACGTGTAAGTTGGCATAATCTACAGCAATACAACTAAAGTTTGCGACATTTCTGACAACTCCCCTGCAAGCTTAGCGTTAGCCCGTTTTAACATAGAGTGAACAACAAACCATTGGCTGAACCTCACATAACAATATGATTCGTGTGAATGACCAGTCTGTTCACAATCATGCAACTTTGATCGGTTTGGTTAGATCTGACTTAACGGTTACACTTCTGATAAGGGAAAATGCTAAAGTTGACGGGGAAAGATGACCACACAGTTCTTATACCGTTGGCCTGGTTGTTACCTTTTGTTAAACGTTGAACGTGTAATGTTAATGCTAATCTAAGAATAAACAACTGACTTGTATGGTGTTAATCAGATTGATCTGTACAGATCATGCTGGAAATAACATTTATTATGCTACTGAATGATGTTAACGCTGGCCTGTACTGCTCCCAACAAGCAGTGTAAGGTTAAGTGGAAAACAGTTACCAACATTGCGTTAAGTTAGCTAACAAGCTACCCAGTCACATAAACAAACTGATCAAACGTTATTCACTTGACTCAAATAAATGACATCAGCCAAAACTTTTTGTAACAGTTGAAGGTTCACAGATGATTTAGTGTTATTTTTAAATGTGGCAGCAGAATTGCAGTTAAAATGCCACTTGCTACATGCTGGTCTCTAGTCAGCAGGACGATAGCCAAAGGTGGTTATGCTAGCGGGTTAGCCAGCTAAAGTTAGCTAGCTAGCTAGCAGCATTTTCTCCCAACATAGCTAATGTATGCCTGTCGTACGTCATGGTACACAAGTATTGACAGTAATTTAGTTTGACAAAGGAGAGGACGTTTTATAACAAACATTACGTTCTTCTGGCATAAAGTTAAGTTAATCCCTACCCTCCACACTTAAAGGTAATATGCTATCAGGTTAGCTAACTAACTACACGCGGCCTTCTGAGCAGCCTTGCTCCACAACAACATTTCCTTATTGAACCGTCCCTCACCCGACCCGACATGGCCCGGACACGGAGACACTGGAACCCGATGCTGCAAGGCCAAGTAAACATGGTGGCTTAACAACACTCGCAAGTACCTCGGCTCATCAAAATATGCTTCTCTGACATGGCACTTTACTTAAATGTACGATTTTTCTTTGCTAGTGTGTTAAACTTTGACTGTCTTACCTCTACTTGTTGTGACAGCACAAGGTTTGTAAAATCGAGTTGTGTAGCTCTCTCTCTCTCTACCTTCGTTTTTCCACAAGATGGCTGAGTATCGGTCACATGACAGCAGATTAAAAACCCGTATGTCGTGGAAAGACTTTCTGACTGGTAACCTACTGTATGTATTCACAAACCATAATAGCACTAATCATTCTCATATTATGGTTCTGTCCTGCACAGTACACCCAGGCATTTCATTCATGCCAAATGAATTGTTTAAACAAAGCGGGTATTACTTTGTTGTTATATCAAAAGTAGCCTATATAACACTGCCCTTACACCCCTTCCCAATGAGATACTATAAAGTACTCATATACCATGAATGCTTCGCCACAGAATAATATAGACTGCCATAAATGAGTAAGGCACAGCAGAGCGGACAGTATCATCACACAAAGAACTAGATTTTACAACAATTTCTTTCCCTGCCGCATTAAGACTGATGGCAAATACAAAATGTGAAAAACCTGGGCAATAACCCCTCATTATCCTACTAAGTAGAATACCATATACTATAAACTATGTATAATACCATGTGCAATATTTGAAACTCCCCATTTTACCTGCTATCTTATTCATGTATCCACAGTTTTATAAACTATTTTATATTCTTTTATATGTTTTTTTTTTGCATTCTGTGTTCTTTTGTATTCTTAGGTGAGCTTATATTTAGCCTAGGTGTTCGTTCTTTTGGCTTTAAACTCTTTACTTGACTCCAGGAGAGCCTTGCACAAGAATACCTATATGCCTAGACTGTCTGTTTATGGATAAATGGCAAAAAAAAATCTTGATTATTATCTCATCTCCTATACCGCTTAGTCCTAAACGGAGTCCCGTTGTGATACTGATATACATTCATTCATTCTCTACCGCTTAGTCCCTGAACGGGGTCACGGGTGGGGCCGGAACCAATCCCGGCCGGTAATCGGGCGAAGGCGGGGTACACCCTAGACAGGTCGCCAATCCATCGCAGGGCTAACACATAGACGAACAGTTGAAAAAATATCAATGTTAGAACACCGAAAAACAATGACCCCGACGTGATTTGAACACGCAACCTTCTGATCTGGAGTCAGACGCGCTGCCGTTGCGCCACGAGGTCTCTTCGTGTTATTTCTGTTATCTGCTATAAAAGTGTAATATACAAGCAACTCAGCAAGAACACAGTGACAAGACACAATTATTCATGAAACAGAAGGCTGATAACCAGTGTTTCAATAACATCTTAAAATAAAACATGTAAATATGAGGATGTCTATGTTGTCCGGTGTCGCAAATTTTTAAATGTTATTTTTTAAACACATGTCAATGCATTTCTGTTTGCTAAACTGCTCATACCATCTCCCTGACTGGCTGATTATGTTGCACCAGGACTACCGCTCTCAGTAATGTGTTAAACCTCCCTAAAGCTGTAAATGTTAGTGATGTTTGAGTATTGCAGACAGATGATAATAAAACTGAAATTGGGATACAGTTATGCTACAGTGCCATCAATAACCCAAAATATACTTAACTTAAGGGGTTTCAAGCCACAAGCCCTTCATAACTCAGTATGTTTCTCTCTCTCTATGGCATACGCACGCGCACATGCGCGCACCATGCTACCACCATTATTTTGTGAAAGATGCAGCCATATGTCTCTAGACAAAGATGGAAGAAATGTACTTGTTGAACTGGAAATTGGTCACTGTTTCTCCTCTCCCCAGCAAGTTCATTTCTTAATCCTTCTTACCCTTTTTTCCCTCTGTTGCCATGGATATGCTATTTCTATGGCAACTGCAGGCCTTTGTGGATGGCCTCGGGCCCCCACCCTAGAGAACTCTCTGAACATTTCATTACACATTCCCTTCAAGCTCACAGACAAATCACATAAGTAGCATGTATTCTAACCCCGTCTCTCTAACTCTTGCAATTTCTTGCTCTCTCTGCCCTCCCCTTTCTCTCTTTTTGTCTCTATTGCTGCACAGCTACACATAGCCCGCAAATTTCCAGGTACCATGTCTGTAAGGGGCCTAAGTTGCTCTGCCCTTATCATACTAGTCAAACTAATAGTGTCACACTTGTTCCATTTTTGTAAAATACACTCCAGGCATTCTCTGATACTGAAAGCCAGTGCTGGTGGGAAGAGGGCTGTGATCCGATTTGTAGTACACGTATCGCTGTCACAAGAGTCAGCCTCCTTAGCATTTTAATTTTCAGTGGCAATGGAAACCAGAGCTCCATTTTTAAAAATGCATGAGACATCTTGAGCAATGGAGAACAGAGAAAGAGGCTCTGCCAGAGAAAGTTTTTCTGTTTCAGAGAGAGTGAACCGAGGGGAGGGGTGAGACTCAAGCAGATGACAGAAAAGTTGCCAGTGGCGGCGAAGGCCTAAGTCAAAGCAGAGTACAGTGTCACGACTGTGCTGGGGCGGGGGGGCAGGTTGGGGGCCTCCACCTTCTGAATGAACCACATTAGCATTGGGAAGTATCATGGACTGCGGGTGGGCTCGGCCGTGCTCAGCATTGTGGCTGGCTGCATCATCATTGGGGTGTCCAGGGAGTGTGACGCTGATGCTGTAGGAGGTATCTTCTTGGGAGCAGGGGGCCTCGGTGAGTGTGTATGTGTGTGAAACTCATTTTTAGGAATGATTGATCCAGTTGCGGGAAAGGAACTAAGCTGTTAAAACTACTGGCTTCCTTGATTGCTTTCTGCTTTGAGCTTCAAATCCTATTTTTTCTGTAGTGATTCTAACCTAATATTAGAGACTGCTACAGAAACTGTTGTTGCTTTTGTTTGTGGTCCCCAGGTGTATATA